AAGGGGCAATGGGCACAAACTGAAGCACAGGAAGTTCCGTCTGAACATGAGAAAGAACTTCTTCCCTCTGAGGGTGACAGAGCCCTGGAACAGGCTGCCCAGGGAGGTTGTGGAGTCTCCTTCTCTGGAGATATTCAAGACCCGCCTGGACAAGGTCCTCTACAACCTACTGTAGGTGACCCTGCTTCGGCAGGAGGGTTGGACTAGATGACCCACAGAGGTCCCTTCCAACCCCTACCATTCTGTGATTCTGTGATTCTGTGATTGCACATCCTGATGAGAAAGTAGCCTCATGAAGCAGTGGAATTGTGCATCCACAAAACAATCATTCTAACAGCCTAAGGCTGTGTAGATGTGTAGGAGATGAGTTTTATCAGGCCTTTGAAGGGTTAGCATTTCTTCTCCAAAGTGTCGATTCTGATTTCGTGCTCTTGCTTCTTACATGCGGACTAAAGCCCCGCATGCAGAGCTGCTGCTGACACACTTCTGTAGATACCTAGTGGATTGCTGCAAAACCACACCAGCTCCAATGCAACGGTGCATGGCTATAGACTGTCCTTTACCCAAGTGCATATGGCCATGTGCACCGATTTTTCCTAAAAATGTATAAATAGAAGGGAGGACGATGCCTGGTGGCGGCTGCAGGAAGGCATGATCATATCCACACAAACACTTGGGAGCAAGGCGCACACGGCTGTGCTACAGCAATCTCTGCAGAGGTTCAGTGGGCGTTTCCCAACAGCAGGTTTATAAAACTGAACTCAGTATTATTAATTTATTGCCTTCCAGGGACTGCAGATACATTTACTAGAGGATATAGGATTGATTTAGCCTACACTCAGCTTCGTTCCGGGGCAAAGTGGTTCCTGGGGATTTTTTTTTTTTTTAAATGCAATAAAATAAAAATCTGTTGCTGCAGCCAAGAGAAACAGCAGACTATTGCTTATCTTCACAAGTGACAGCTTCCCTGATCAGACTCATTTTAGCAGGGCAAACACGAGTTTAAGAGTTGAGCCATTTCTCCTCTCTCGCTTTAATCTTTCAGCATGTCCTCCAGGTTTCCACGGTGTTGTTGCGCAGATGATTCCCATTCTCACACCTTGCTTTTGCCCTCCCTCTTCCTCAGTCCTGAACGCTCCTCCCTCCTTAAAAACACAACCTACTGAACTGCAGTGTTCAGCCGGCTGCATCCCCATCATACTCCTCCTTGGTTTGGGAAGGAAGACTTGCAACGCTCCAGGTACTCAAAAAAATGCCCCAAAACTCAAGCAGAGAGACTGGAATTAACTCGCTCCAAAGAATAAGAGCATCCATCCGGGCTTGGATTTTGAGAGATGAGCAAAGGCATTTGGATTTAGCTGGTTTCCAATCCCTCGATTTCCATCTGCGTCTTTGGGCGTTGCAGCCGCCTCTGTCAGACTGCCTGAAATATTTTATAACCGAGCAAGTTAACGGGAGGAAACATTCGTCCACATCCCCCTCCCTTTCCTGGCAGTAACGTGGGAGGAAAGGCGATGCCGCACGGGCAGGGATGCCAAGCGCATCCCCGTCTCCCAGCCGGGCTGGCCGGCGGTCCCGTCCCGTGCCCAGCAGGTTTCAAAAGAGGTTCTGTGCAAGAAGGCACCCGGCAAGGGGGCTGCCCCTGTGCCTGGAGAAACGAGCGGCCCCCAGCAGCTTGTTTGTTTGCTTGCCTTTACAGGGGAATACAGGTTCACTCATCACTACAATAAGCACATTCACACTCCTGCCCAGCCGGTGTGAGCCTTCCAAGCCCAGCGCCCGCGTATGAATGAGCCTAGTAAGAGCCACACACTGCAGAGTCAATGTTTTTCAAATCTGGGTCAGTCTGAGGCACCCTAGATGAAGAAGTATTGCCACGAGCATTGTAAATTAATATTTTATATTCCCTTGAAGTGCCTTTTGAGGAAATTGGCCTTCATTACAGAGGCATCTCCCCTGTAAACACAAGCAAACAGAAAATACCTCTGCCGACAAGGACAGCATTGTAGGGCAGGGAAGGAGAGTAAACGTGGAATCTGCGGGAAGAAATGGACCAATTCAGGGGCTGTGTCAGATGGGCATGTGAATCCCCGCTCCCCAGCAGCCCCTGAGCTGCGGTACCCCCCGCACCCATCCGCTACAGTGGGCCCTGCCTTTGCACCCCGGGAGCAGCACCCCCAGACCTCCCGAAACAGCAAAGGGGGAGGCATCGGCCCCTACTGAACACAGCTCAGGGGCATAAGGACCCTCACATTACCGCCCGCACGGCGGTTCGCGACGCACAAGCCGTGGGCATCATGCAAAGATCCCGGTCCCAGTATCTAAACTGGGAAGGCAGCAGGAGCGCGGGGCTGCTGCAGCGCTGCTTCAGATTTTGGTTTTCAAATTTCAGACCACTTGCACGGCCCGACCAGCGCGAGGGCAAGTATTTTTGGCACTGGCTGGGGAGGGTCCTCCCCCGCGAGACGCCAGCCAGTCCAACCCGTCTGCCACAAGGCAGGGCTTCTCAAAACGTCGGAAAGCGGCCGAACATCGCTCTTCTCAGAAAAGCGCTGCCCTTGTCCTTCTTTCACGAAAGCGAACTCGGTATTCATTAGGAGCAGGTCAGAGCTATTTCAGACACGGAAGACAGCAGACACAAATCAATAGAAAAAAATAACTTCTTTTTATTTACAAAAAAAAATCCAAATATTGGATGCTGTAAACAAAATTCACAATCTGTTCCCTCTAGAGTCTGTTTTCCATCAGCTCTTTCTCTGTCTGTGACAAAGCCTATAGTCAAAATGTTCCAAAAGAGCAATCCAAGGAGCAGTTTGCTGCAACAGGATGCCTTGCAGAAGGCAACAGTTGTAAGGAAATCTGAGGGAAAGCAAATCTACACAGACTCCTACAGACTGCAGGAGCCTGCGGTGCTTTAGCCAAGCTGTCTTGAAATTTGCTGTCTTCTTTTTTTTTTTTTTTCCTTTTTACCATTTATTTTGTTAGCAAACCATTATTACAACAGCAAAACAGTACACTGATTTTCTTTCTTGCAAGGGAAACTCTCTGCATAAAGAAAACCATATAAAAGAATATATTCAAATAGGAGCTGAATATGCAATTACAGTTTTTCCTTTTCTGTGCAGTTTTATCTAACACACTTCATTTTCTCAATTAAAAAAAAAAAGCTTTCTTTTTGAACTGGTAGAGCTTCTGACATGATGTAAACCAAGCATTTAGTAAGAGGTGTTTAGAAGATTTGTGTGAAGGCCTTTGTGCAAGACAAAAAAATATTTTAAGTGCAACAAGAGAAACTAGAAAAATATCATCTTTTTGGTCTTCTAACTTCTATTTTTAGAAAAAATGTTCTTGCATTTGGGAGGACAGCTACATCTGGGGGGGGGGAAATTCCATTTCAAAGCTCTCGGTTGTTTCAGGATCGCTGCTTTTGACCAAGTTTAGCGCCCTGTTGGTCAGCAGTAAATTCAGCTGCAGCACAAACAGCTTTACTGTAATCAGGTCAATGTTTTTAATCAGTTCAGCTCTTTAAAAGGGGCACTGTCTCTTGTAGCACAGGTTCTAACCTTACATCTGATTGGATGGGAAAACGAAGTCCACAAAGCGAGAACACGGCCGTTAACTTTAAAAGTACCACTGTGCTGAAGGTGGGGGGGGAAAACAGTCAAAAAAAAGTCAGACTTTATGGAGGGGAAGGTGTGCAAACCGCAGAAATAAACCAGCTTTGAAAAGGGGTTCTTATTTTACTCTTGGCCTGAACTCATGCCTTCTTCCCACCTCTAACACCAGGCACCTTTCAAGCTACCAGTCACAGATAAAACACAGCTCCACCAGTTCCACCACTTGATCATTAACATATGCAAAACAGATCCAAAATACCTATATAATATATATAAAAACATATTATATATGTATCAAAATGCAAACGCTGAAAGGTGCAGTTTAGCTCAGAGCCCTGTCGCATGCACTACAAGGTAAAAAGCTGCTGTCAATCATAAAAAAAAAAAACACACACACAATAAAATTTGAGCTGAGAGGAAGCAAATCAAAACTTTCAAGCAATGGGAAAAAAAAAAAGGGGGGGGGCCTTCAAAGGAAAAAACGCATCGTGTCATGTACTATCAGCGTTCTGCGGTTGTGGCACAGCTATAGATTCTCAAACCCTTTTAAAGAGTGGATGACTCATTTATTTGCTGCAAATAGTTGTGGCCGGAGAAGACATACCACATTACCAGCTGATCCCATTTCCCCAGCCCGCCCGGTAGCTTCCGCTAGCAAACCCTGCCAGGAGCTGGGGGGCAAGGGGAACCAGCGGGCAGGGAGGAGACCTGGTGGGGACCAAGGGATGGAGAAGCCCAGGCGGAGGGGACCCGGTGGGGACCAGGGGATGGAGAAGCCCAGCCGGAGCCCGCGGCCAGCGCTGGAGGAAGGCAGGTGGGGACCAGGTCTGCGAGTCGACGCCGGGAACGGCGGTGAACCAGCCCTTAGGTTTCCTGAAGGACTCACAGGGAAGGTGCTCCAGTAAACAAACCGGGTTCCTCTTAAATCACCTCCAGAGCGAAAAGTACAAAGCGCGACAAAAATAGATGTACCTCGCTCGCTGCGTGGGGACGGCACACGGCCGGGACACGAGCCTTCTCCCTCTCCCCTGCCTCCTCCAGCGCCAGACCCTGCCGGCAACCAGGCAGTGCACAGCCACTTTTCGCTCAAAAACCTGAATTCCCTTTTGTTTCGGGACATTTTTTTGCTTTTCTTTCACTATTTTTTTTCCTTCCGTACGAAAAAGCGAAATATTAAAGTCAAGTGTCACTTACTCATTAGGTTTTCAAAGCCCAACAAAGAATTTAACACCTTCAGAGATGGCACTGAAGTGAAAATAACAGCGGAGGTTGATTTTTTTTTTCCCCCCTGCTGGTCTTTCGGGAGAGGAAATGAAAGTGAATAGTTATTGTTCCAATGTAAAGTGATTCCATTTAAATAAAGTACAGTACTGAAATTGTAAATGCTGTGTGACAACCAGATCAAAGATGTTTAATATTTGCATAAAAATATATATATATAATATATATATAAAATATAATTTTAAGCAATCGTGCAACACTCTTAAAAAGGGTTCATTTCACATTTGCTAAATTCTAGTGGTCCTGGAATGCATAACGCATTCTATTAAAAATACTCCTTTAAATATTAACAATTAGTGTTCAGATCACCAACTAATACAATATCCTTTAGCTGTCAGGGGGTTTCAATAAACCTATCTTTGATCCACGTTCCACTGAATTACACATCATGGAGGTATGCAGTCACAACATTAGTGGGTTAAATGTCAAAATGGCATTACAGTACAAAATAGTTCAAAAAAAAAAAATCAGCTAGTCATATGTTTCTCCATCTGTGGAATTATTATGGCTCACAAGCAACCCACTGAATTACTGTAATCCTTGTTCTTGCAACCAAAGACATTATCTGAATCCCACCTCAATCCTGACTGGTTCATTTACTCCAAATTTCTCAGATGTGGGTTCAAAATTCACTGCAAGGCCCACTGTCCTATGACAACCTGCTGCAAACTGGAAAACACATAGTACTTTATTTAAACATTCCTTAATTGCTACATTTTCCTAGACCACATTAATATATATTGTGTGTGTATATATATAGATATACACCTATAACTTGTACATATATACACACACAAACATATATACACACATACACACACGTACCTAGGATAATAGCACACCGACATAACATTAACTCTATACAGGTATTTGCCAAGAAAAAAAAAAAATAGGGCATCTCCTCCACCACTTATTCACAAGCTTATGGGTTTTTTTTGTTTTTAATCCTTGTGTCCCTGATAAAACAAAATGCATGGTTAAACCACAAAACTATATTTTTTTTCTCACTTCAAATTTTATGAAGGCATCAGGCACTTTTGATTACTGTTGGTGTGTACAAATATAGCAACATCTTTCTTTTATATATATATATACTCTACTGTCTCTTCTTTGCTCGGATAACTTATCTGTGAAATCTTTGGTCCTTGAGTATGTTCTGTTTGCCGCAGCTGGTTTTCCTGCATTCTCACATTTTTAAAATGTGAGACATGCACACAGCTGGAAAGAATGGACTTTGTCATCTTACGTGTTTCTGTTTTTATAACTGTACCAATCCACTACTGTTCATTTGGAGCAAGCTGTTCCCGGTAAAGCATTCTAGTCAAGCAAGCTATACATTCTACACGGTCAATTCATAGACGGCACTTGCTGCAAGCCCCAAATGCAGTAATTCCAATATACATTTTTATTCAGCTTATCTCTGCTTTACGCCTCTAACTTTTAATTCCTGAATATATATAGAGCACTGTTTTTTTGTGAATTTTTTTCTTTTTTGTTGTTTTTTTGTTTGTTTTGTTTCTTTCATATTCTCCCTTTTGCAGATCCCATTCTAGAGTAAGAATAGAAATAAAAGAAAAAAAGGCTTTCCCACCTTCTCTATGCCAAAGCTACGGGAGCAGGTACTGCCAACCCATATTGTCATCAAGCATTCCTCCCTCGCTTATTTCAGGGGAAGCTGGTTGCTTTTAATGACAGGCCTCTTGTGCTCTGGGGTAGGATCCAATTATTTTGGGGTTCTTTCTCGATCATGCTGCAGTTGTGTATTAGAAGAACCACAAGCTTTCTCCCAAGCTTGAAAACTAGAGCAGATCATCATTGCACAAAACGCCCCATTTCAAGGGGACGCGTCGCCCCTTCCTACGTCTCAGCAAACGTTCTCCCCATCGGGTCTACTAATTGCGGTCCTTAATTACAGGGCAGCCAGGTAGAGTACGTGTGCTGCTGGCAAGGGAACACCGTCTGAACCTGGGCAATATAGTAATTGCTGAAGTTGGCATCTGCTACGTACGGGGCTGGCTGGTAGTAGCAGGTGACATTGGCCACATTGGGGATGATATTTTGCTCGGCCAGGACCCGGATGGCCAGCATGGTGATCAGATTCAGAGTCTGTCTCCTCTCATGCCCCATCAGGCACACTGTGCTCTCATTCACCACACCGTGAAGGGTCATGAGATAGTCATACTTGCGGTCCTCTAATCCCACAAAGTGGTTCTGCAAGTAGGACTCCAGCTTCCTCTGCTGTTCTCCGATGTCTGAGAAGTCAATGAAAAACCTCGAGCACATGTATCTCTGCAGGGACTTAATCTCGGATTCGGAGGCAGCCCTAAAGCCCCTTACCAAAAGGTTGCAGTACTTCAGAAGACCACCTCCTCTGATCTCTTCTGGGTTTCTGGTGGCAATTATCTTGTTGCAGAGGTGATCAAAGGCTTCCTGGAAATCCCCATAGACGCTCTCACCAATGATAGTCGGGTGAAAAGTTTCAGTCATCGGATTCTCTGAGCACTCATAAAAAAGCAGCAGGGAGTCCAGCTTGATTTGAAAGGAATCGACGCTGAATTCAAACTGCCGCCTCAGAGAGTCCACAAATTTCAGCTCCACGTTTTTGCCACTGTTGTTGGACAGGGAGATGAGACTCCATCGGTCTGAATCATTGCATACTTTTACCATTTTCTGCACATAAGCCTCCTATAAGCGGAAAGACAAAAATGAGCAAACGAAGACACAGACGCAAGACATCTCCCCTTTGCTGCATCCGTTCGCACCCCCACCTCCACCCCGTCCTTGTCGTAAAAGATGTCACGGAGCCTGCAGATACAAACCGGAGGAGAAATGCCCAACCTAAGCGCCCGGGACCGCGTCGCGCGAGGGGAGCGCATGGCAACGCTGCTTCTTTCAGCCACTTCTGAACACATCTCCAGACGGAGCCCACAGCACACACGCCAAGCATCCGCACACAAAAGGTCAAGGCTACAGTCAGACATGAAATCTTTTTTTTTTTTCGGTTTCCGCTTCTTTCAGCCACTTCTGAACACATCTCCAGACGGAGCCCACAGCACACACGCCAAGCATCCGCACACAAAAGGTCAAGGCTACAGTCAGACATGAAATCTTTTTTTTTTTTCGGTTTCCGCTTCCCTATCACTTCCCCACAACAAAAAAAAAAAAACAAAACCAAAAACAACAAACTTCGCAAGCGCTCGCTCCCCTCAGCCCCGCTCTCTCTGTGCGGGTTCCACAAACCCACCCCACCTTCCAAGAAACCCCTCCAAACCAGAAACCCTCCACAGCCCCCGGG